CCCCCCCCAACCCCACACCTACCGACGGTGGATTTGCAGGCCTCGCTGAAGGTGTCGTCTGTGAAGCGCTCCATCAGGCTGGTCTTGCCAACTCCCCGGCTGCCGATGATGATGACCTGCAGCTTGTAGTCGGCGGGCCGGGGCGGCTGCCTCCTGCGCCGGGAGCTAGCGGGACTGGGCTTTGGGGAGGCCCCGCCGGCAACCGGCAGGCTGTTGGCCGAAAGGGACCGGGAGTTGGAGCTCAGGCCTCCCCCACCGCCGCCGCCGGGCCCTCGCCTCTTGGCTCCGGCTGTCCGATCCATCGGCCCTCGCTGTCCCTCCTCCGATCCGTTACTGCCGCCTCTTCCCTTCCGCCAACAACACTCCGCCGTCCGGAGGACCAGATCCGAACCCTCCAGTAGCCCACATAGCACTGCGAGGGCTGCCTGATGTCACGGCGCGCCTGACGTCACGGCCCCCTCCCTTTCGCACCGGTAGAGTCCCTGAGCTGCAACACCGCGGCAAACCGCCAGGGCGGCGCTGCGATAGGCCGAAAAGCAGCAGTCAGTTTCAGGAGCTAATTTCTCCCAGGATAGATGAGCGTTTACATTGGCTGTCTTTATAGAGCATTTTTAATATACTTAAACATCTCAAAATACTTCACAACAGGCCCCAAGCCACTTTAAAAAAAAAGTACAATTTGACAGCCCAAAGCTAGATCAAAGTATCTTAAAATTTGGGATGATAAAGAAGTCAATTAGAATAGTGTAGATTTTTTAACCAGTCCTCCAGCATCCCATTCTTACCTGTTTCTGCCAGTAATAACATGGTTTATGGGTGGCAATCTAATGAATCATTCGCAGCCACTTTGCTCAAACCAGGGGAGGCGGTTTATGTTTTGCTTCAAGCTCTAGTATCATGATCACCCCTGTAAAAATACTCTGCAATTCTCATGCCATCACATGGAAATTTTCTTCACGTCTGTATCATTCCTGCCAATGGCTGATTAAATGCAATGCAGATGAGCTTGAATATTTCATGATTAAGCTAGATTTTGTGGATAGAAAATTGGCTGTGGGAGAGTGTGGTGGGGGCATGATGATGGGGGAAGGGAAGAATTTGAAGCTGCTGTTCCCACTCCTTCCCCATCTGGATAAACCGTAGCCTGGCATCCGGTTCCTTCCAGGGGAAGGAGCAGCAGTGATAGGTTGGAATGACATGAAGGTGGAGCGTGGGGGCAGGGAGGTGGAGGTGATTGACAATGGAGCACGTGCTCGATCCTCCTGTGCTCTCAAGCACATGGTGGTTGATGTTGCGCACGGCGGTTGGGTGAGGGAAAGGGGTTGAGAAGCCCGGGATGGATCTAGAAGTTTCCGTAGGAGAGTGGCCATCTTTGCCGCCGCCATTGTCTGTGGGTGAGGGTTGCTTCCAGGTTGCAAGATAAGGGAGAGCGTTGACCAAATCCACACCTTCCATTTCTTCCAGCATCCACCCCTCTTCCCCCACTCCATTTCCCAATGGATGGAAGAAATTCCCTTCCCCGTTGGAACTCCTCTTACACCTGGCACGATTTTATGGTTATTCGTTCATTGGGCATGGGGGTCACTGATTGAACCAGCATTTTATTGCCCCTCCCTTGGTTACACTTGGAGGGGGTGCTGTCCATGTGTTGTGGGTTGCCCCACATTACCCTCAGGGAGGGCTTCCGGGATTTTGACCCAGAAAGGGCGATATATTTCCAGGTTAGGATGGCAAGTGGCTTGGAGGTGGTGGTGTTCCCATCTGTCTGCTGTCCTTCTAAATGGAAATGGTTTTATGTTTGGAAGGTACTGTCCTAGGAGACGTGGAAAACTTTTGCACTGCATCTTGGACTTGTGGCAGCGATGCCAGAGGTCAGTTCGGGTTCCCAGCAGGGTCTGTGTTCAGCGCAGATTCATGGAGGCAGAAGCAGAGACGGGTTTCGGTGCAGTATGAGACCCGGTGGCATCAGCAGTGGCTGCATTGGCAAGGTGGGCCTGAAGTGGACTCATGGTGGCGGTGGAATTGAGTTTGGGCTGGTGTGTTACCCGTCGGCATCGGTGTTATTTGCATTGGTGAGGCCCGAAGAGGGCACTGGTGGAGGTGAAGCAGAAAGTAATGGTCAATAGATATTTTCCTAAGTTCTCCAGGGCTTGGTATTGGGACCCTCACTTTTCCTGATATTTGTTAATGATCTAGATTTTGGTGTGCAAGACAACAATTTCAAATTTAGCAGAAAACACAAAACTTGGAAGTGTAAGCTGTGAGGAGGACAGTATGGAACTCCAAAAGGACATTGACAAGTTGGTGGAATAGTGGATAGGTGATAGATGAGATTCAATGCAGCAAAGTGTGAGGAGATGCCTCCTCTGATGCCGCCTGACCGACAAACGCTTTGTGTCACATTTACCAGAATACTCAAATCCCTCAATAGTACAGAATTCTGAAATCATTTTACATTTAAGGAATATCTTGTATTTTTTATTCTTTCTACCAAAGTGAACAATTTAAACTTTTCTGGATTATACTTTATCTGCCAGATTCTTGCCCATTCACTTAACCTATCTAAATCTACATACAATTTCTTTGTTTTCTTCACAACAAGCTTTCTTACCTATCATAGTGTCTTCTATGAATTTAGCCACCATGCCTTTGCTTCCCCCATCTAAATCATGAATATAAATTGTAAGAAGTTGAGGCCCCAGCACAGAACAATGTAGAACTCTACTCATAACATCTTGCCAATCAGACAAAGACCCATTTATGGATACCCTCTCCCTTCTGCCAGTGGACCAATCTTCCATCCATGTTCATATTGTTATCTCTACACAGTGAGCTTGTATTTTCAACAATAAACTTTGATGCAGTTCCTTATCAAATGACTTCTGGAAATCCAGGTAGACTGCACCTACAGATTCCCTTTTATTTACAGTAAATGGTACTCCTCAAAAAACCACAATAAATTGATTAAGATTTCCCATTGACCAAATGGTGACTGTTGCTGATTACCTTGAATTTTTCTAACAATGCAGCTAAAATCTCTTTAATGATTGACTCCAACAACTTTCCCATAATCCTGCTATGATTTCCCCATCTAGATAATTGGCTATATTTTCCTATTTTCTCCCTCCTTACCTTCTTATATTTGGGTTATATTTGCGACCTTCCAGTTTGATTGAAACTTTTCTAAATTGAGGAAATTTTCAAAAATTAGCACCCAAAGCATCCACTACTTCATTAGCAACCTCTTTTAAGCTCCCGGGATAAAATCCATCTGGACTGGGAAACTTGTCAGCCTGCAGCTCCATCAGTTTGCTTAGTATTTCCCAGTTAAGATGGCAGCAGAGCAGGACACTCCAACCAGAGCTCATCCACACCACCGACTGTTCTTCTTTTGCTTCTCTTTTTCTTCCCCCTTTTTCTTCTGCTGCTTTTTCCCTTTGACTCCTGGTGTCTGGTGACCTCCGACGAACTCTGGCGAGGAGCGATGATCCCTGGCCTGCGACGTTGATTCCTGGCCTCTGGAGATGCAGCGAACTCCTGTAGCAGTCTCCCGGTGTAGTGTGGTGACCTTCCGGCCTCCTACAGCGGCCTCCCGATGTGCCATGTTGCTGCTGTGGTGTGGAGCCAGGGCCGAGTGCAGACTGGAAGCTAAGTGCCAGTGTGGTCCGCTGTACTGAACATTTTTCTGTAATATTGGACATTTTATTTCTGTATTGTCTAAGATCTTGTAACAAAAGAAGGTGTGCATAAGTACTTCTGTATGTAAGTTGGCACTGTAATTGGTGACGAATAAATGTTTCACTATACTCATTGAGCATATATGACAATAAAGGCTATTCTATTCTTTAACTATAATTATAATTTTGCTAACTTCCTCTCCTTTCAATTCCTGATTTACAATTATGATTGGAATGGTTTTAGAAATCCTGTTTTGTTAAGATAGGAGTAAAGTATTTGTTCATTCGACCCATCTTTTCCTTATTATAAGACTGAATCATAGGATCAGAAGTAGGCTATTCAGCCCATTGAGTAATCAATGAGTAATCCTCAACTTCACTTTCCTGCTTTTTCTCCATAACCCTTGTTTTTCTTATTGATTAAAAATATAATTCAGCCTTAAATATATTTAAAGACCTGACCTATATAATCTACTACAATGAAGAATTCCACAAATTCACTACTCGCAGAGAAGGAAATCCTTCTCATCTCTGTCTTAAAATGTTCCCTTCGAGCTATGTGACTGCACACGTGTGCAGCTGCCCAAAAATTTTGTGCACTTTGATCAATGTTGGCGCTGGTTCACAATATTGACATCCAAGACTTCCCAAAGGGAGAAACAACCTCTCCATATCTATTCTTTCAAGCCCCTAAAAATCTCATATGTCTCAATAAGGTTGCCTTTCATTCTTCTAAACTCAAATGAGCATAGTTCCAATCTACTCAACCTTTTCCACTAAGAAAATTCCTCCAAACCTGGGATCAGCCCAGTAAACATTCTTTGGACTAGCTCCAATGCCTCCTCAGATAAGTGGACCAAAAACATTCATAATATTCTAGGTGTGGCCTCACTAGTATATTGTATAGTTTTAGCAAGACATCATTATTGTAATACTGCATTCCCTTTGAAATAAAGGCCAGCAGTTTATTTGCTTCCCCATTACCTGCTGAAATTGAATTCTAGTATTTTTTCATGCATGAGGACTCACAAATTCCATTGCGCCATAGCTTTCTGCAAACTTTCTCTATTTAAATAATATTCTACTCGTTTATTCTTCCTGCCAAAGTGAATAATGTCATATTTTCCCACATTATATTCCATCTGCCAAGTTGTTGCCCACTTGCTAAACCATCTATATTACTCTGTAGATCCTTTGTATAATCCTCACAATTTCCCATCTGTGTTTGTATCATCTGCAAACCTGGCTATTGTATATTCTGCAAACCTGGTGGTATAAATCTACTATTAACTCTTTATCCTCACTCACTCGACAATTAACAGTCATATTACTTACACTTTTCCTATTAAATAACTGTACAGCCTCTTGCTTTCCATCTTTACATTAATGCCTAGTTTCCTCTCAGACTCTAATTTCCTCTTCTTGATTAATCTTTTAGATATTCTGCACACTTCTTTACATTTCTAACCAACTATCTGACCTACCATTCATCTTTACACAGTTATATGTTTTTTTCTTTAAGTATGATGCTGTCCCTAACTTCTTTAAATTTTAGTTAACTATGGGTGGTGAACTATTTAGAATGTTTCTTTACAATAGGAAGATTCTGAAATATCCCTGAAATACCTGCCGGTGTGTCTCTATTCATTATCCCCTAGCCAGTATGCAAGCGTACTTCAGCTAGTTTAGCTTTCATGTTCACTTAGTTAAGCTTATTTAACATTAAAACAATACATGAAACAACCATTCTGAAGAAGGGTCGCTTGACCCAAAACATTAACTCTGATTTCTTTCTACAGATGCTACCAGCTTTTCCAGCAATTTCTATTTTTGTTAACTTCAAAACACTTGTCTCAGACCCAATCTTCTCCCTTTTAAACTGGATCTAAATTCCAATCATAGTGAGATTACACAACAATCGATGTAATCATTGCAAAGACTACCTTTGAATTCCACCTTTGTTAATTCAAATTAAATCCCAACTGTTATAGTGGGATTTGAACACGTGTCTGCAGAATGTTAGCCTAATCCTCTGGGTTAACTAAGTAGTGATATTATCAGAATGCCACCACTTCCCCTTAACTCACAGGATTTCCCCCTTAGCTCAGGGAAAACTCTTTTCTAAAAATGTGAAGGGTCCCGACCCGAAACATCAACTTTCCAGCTCCTCTGATGCTGCCTGGCCTGCAGTGTTCCTCCAGCTCCACACTGTGTTATCTCTGACTCCAGCATCTGCAGTTCCTACTATCTTTTATAGCTGCCTTCTATTCTTGCTAGTTTTTGACGCTCAGTATCCTCAGTAAGCTTAGAAGCGGCTGCAAAAGTGCATTTGCCCACTGTTAAAAAAGTTTTGAATGCTGTAATGAATGATCTATGCGGAGGCCCGTGCCTTCCTGATGGGGTTTAGGATCTCTGTTGTTGCCTGACACTTGTGAAGTGTGAAAGCTGCTTATCAGCCTAAGCTTGGATGTTGCCCAGATCTTGCTGTGTGCAGGGCATGGGATACTTCATCTGAGGAATTATGTATGTAGATGAACATTGTACAATCATGAATGTCCTTCTGTTGGAGGGAAGGTCATTGAGGAAGCAGCTGAAAATATATTGGGCCTAAAACCCTGCTGTGAACACCTCCTATCCTGGAGCTTAGGAGCTTTTAAACAAATTGATTGTCTTATCTAGAACAGATGGACAAAATCATGTTTTACTGCACACCAATAACGAAAGCAACAAACCAAATTCTAAATAACTTACAAAACTCCCTTTCTGTCTGTTATCCCATAAATGTCAAAAGTTGATTTGATTGTTTTATGGCTTATCATTTCAGAACTCCAGTGTACTTTGAATTTAATGTCATTGAAAAATATTACATACACAGTATTTAATTACTGATGTATTTAAACCAAGTATAAAGTCTGATATACATGTCAATCAATGTACTATAAAGTGTTCACATTCCAATTCTGTTGATGTTCTGGTTTGAGGTGCCTGCTGAACTGTCAACCTGGAGAAGAAAAGTGAATTGTCCCAATTTTTAACAGTTGGAAGAAACATACTACATATAATATTTCATTTGAAAAGATGAGGAAATTTAAGTTAGTCCCACACTTGGCTTTTCTGAAACACCATCTCTTTCACACAGTCTCCTCGAGATAAATGTTCTGCAATTTTCTACGGTCTTGTGAGTGTGTTTTTGATAGTTCGGTAGTCTAAAAGATAAATGGTACAAGTATGCTTATTAGCATGGATAAGGATTGGGTCAGAACATTCAGCTACTTATTGATTTGTATCAGTTAACTTAAGCACCGCTTAAATATTAAAATGTTTATACACAGTGCTTAGCTATTCCCTAAGAGCTCATAAATGGTCCACTGTCACTTCTGCTTATGTACAGAATTAACTTTGCTACTGTATCTAGAGCAATAAATAATGTTGCTCTGGTGGACCTCCACTTTTTAAAATACTGCATTTGCTGACACTGCAGCTACAGAAGCTGTGCTCATTGAACATGCAGCTCTGTACCTGGGACACCACAGTTCATGATCCCACAGGTGGGTGCCTGCATCAAACATCACTGTTCAGGTTGCCTCTTGATCTCTCTCCTACACCCATCTGCTTGCTGACTCTCTCACCACTCTGATTCTTACCTAGCTCACCATCCACCTGCTAACACTTTGCTGCCCCTCTTGTTGACCCTCTGATGGCACTGCTCTCCATGCTGCTGCCAACCCCTTGGTCACCACTCTCTCCTGAGCCCTCACTCCCTCCTTGAAATGTGGTGGCAGAAACAAGACACAAATGCAGCAGGGCGTCAAGGGAGGGAAGCAGTGAGGGAACAGGATAGGGAGAGGGGAGCAATGCGGAAGGTAAGTAGTGAGGGGATGGGAGTTGAATAGTATGTGAGATAGTGAATAAGGTAGCCCAAGTGGGAGACAGTGAGGATTTGGAATTGTGTCTGAGGTGGGAGGGAGTGAGGGTTTGGAAATGGATCTGACAGTGGGAGGGAGTGAGAGTTTGGAAATGTTTTGAGAGTTGGGGGGGAGTCAGTGTTCGGAAATGTGTCTGAGAGTGGAGGCAGTGAGGATGTGGAAGTGTGTGTGTGAGGTGGGAGGGAGTGAGGTTTGGAAGAGTGTCTGAGAGTGGGAGGGACTGAGTGGGAGGCGCGAGTGTTTAATGGACAACACAACAGTAACTGTGCATGCAGCAGGGGACAGAGTGGCTGCCAATTTTCTGTTTCAGTTTGGTGATCAGGAGATACCATGTTTTAAAAAGGTTCATATCAGAACATTCCCCATGTGCACAATTAACATTTAGACAGCTGACAGATATTCGAAAGTTCCAGACTCTAGGTTCATGTGGCACAAGCTGTGCACCATCAGCTGCAAACAGGATGAAAAAAAGCTTAAAATTGACACAGAAGCTCCTTTCTCAGCAGACTCTTAATGAATCTCATCTGACCTTCAGGAACTAACTAGACTCATGCGGGTCACACATAGATAAATGAAGTAGTCAGAAGCAATATTAGTGATAGACTACACAACAAAAAGTCATTTGATATAAATTATTTGAACATTCTTGCTAATGCTGACCTCGACCTAGATATTTGACTGTGTTGTAAAGCTAGCCTTCCCTAGCATGAGTGATAAACTTGCTTAACGAATTCTACGACTAATAATCAGTGAGAGTCCTGCAGCAACATTATTTAAAGGGTTCATTCCTTTTATGTGGGTCAGTTGCTGGTTTGTCCTTGCATGTATAATTTCCCCCCCTATTTTCTGTGTTGCAGAAGTGAATGCTGCCATCTAGTAACTCATCTGTGCTAGTGCTGGTCTGTATTTGTTCATAATTGTACGTAGAGTGGAACCTGTGAGTTTAGACTGCAACAGGATGAGAAGCAGTGAAATGGAGAGGAGAGATGAAGAGAAGAGCAAAAGGCTAAAAGCCAGAGTGGGTGTTTAGGGAACATCTCTCTAACACAAATAAGGAAGGCTGGAGTGGAGTGGGTACAGACTGCAGCTGGAACGGAGTGCAAACCTGTGAGTTTGGTGAGTGAGAGGGTGAATCTACAAGGTTAATTTCTTTTTATAAAATCTAGTATTGCTTGCTATACTGCAACAGTAAGAAATGGAGGAGGAAGAGGCAGAGCTGGAAAGGCATTGACTGCCAGAGCCCTGAGCTGCCTGAGCTCTCAGGAAAAAGATGATCCAAGAGCTGTACAGATGAACAACCTCTTTTATTGTCTAACTCTCAACAGTCCTGCAATCCTTCATATCATTGTTCAAGCTAGCACACTCTGATTGCCACCTCCAGACCAGTCTCACTGGTCTTGACCTCACCTCCTTGTAAGTGTGAACACCAAATGCAGAAGCAGAAACTTCAGTGTTGGTTGCAATTCCCCTCCTCCTGTGAAATTGTCCAGAGATTGGAAACAAATGCTGACCCTGCCAGTGAGGCCCACAGCCTATGAAAAAATGAAGAATACTCTCTTCTGCTCAATAGGAATAGTCAAATTGTGGGGGAGAATTTATAGCAAATTTCTGTTAAATTGCCTTATTGATATGTCTGAATTGATGCGGAGATGCTGGTGTTGGGCTGGGGTGGGCAAGGTCAGAAATCATATGACACCAGGTTATAGTCCAACAGGTTTATTTGAAAACACAAGCTTTCTGATCCTCCCTCCTTCTTCAGGTGTTAGTGACAGAGGTACTATCAGACACAGAATTTATATTTGTAAGTAAAAGATCAAAGATCCTCATCAGTGGTGTAACCCTTTGATCTCACCACTGATGAGGATGTTTGATCTTTTACTTACAAATTCCATATCTGATGGCACCTCTCTCACTAACACCTGAAGAAGGAGCGAGGCTCCGAAAGCTTGTGTTTTCAAATAAACCTGTTGGACTATAACCTGGTGTCGTGTGATTTCTGATCTTGTCTGAATTGAGGTGGAACCTGCATCATCCAGGTGCCCATCTCATCTTTTTCATTATTATATTCCTGCCATCACTAAGACCTATATCAATGTCGGTCACTTCACTCCTGTCCTGCCAATCCACTGTGAACACTTATATTTGTACTTTTCTTACCTCTAGGTTTGATTATACCAATGCAGTCCTGGCTGGTCTCCTACATTTGACCTTTTATAAAGCTGATTCATCCAAAGCTTTCCTGCCTGTATCTTCACTCACAAATCCTGTTCCCTTATCATCTCAGTGGTTGCTACCAAGGTTAGCTGCCAGCCAAGTAAATTCTTGATGTTAAAAATGTTGGCAGAGACAATGGTTCACTGTATTATTGCTAGACTATTAAACCAGAGATTCAGGTGATGTTTTAGACCTTAGTTTGAATTCTTTCATGAAAAGTGGTGGGATTTGTTTGCAATAAACATCTGGTCTGCCCAGATCTGCTGTATTTGGACATGGCCTGGGGAGTTGCTAATGCTACTGATCATTGTGTAATCATCATTGAACATCCCCATGTCCGATCTTATGATGTAGAGATGAAGCAGCTGAAGATGGTTGGGCCTAGGACACCACTCTGAGGAACTCCTGCAGAGATGTTCCGGAGCTGAGATGACTGACCTCCAATAACCACAACCACCTTCCATCGTGCTAGTTATAACTCCAACTAGTGGAGAGTTCTCCCCAGTTTCACCCTTGTTTTGCTGAGGCTCCTTGATCCCATACTCTGTTGAATGTGGCCCTAATGTCAAGGTCTGGAATTTCTGGAATTCAGCTCTTTTGTCCACATTCGAACCAAGGCTATAATGAGATCAGGAGCTGAATGCCCCTGGCAAACATGAAATCCAGGACCAGTGAGCACGTTATTCCAGCACCAGACAGCTTTATTTCTCGATATCTCTGGCCAGGCACTGACCCCTACTATCAATTTGCTGATGATGGAGAACTGAATGATGAGGTGGTAATTCACTGAACTGGATTTATTTGGGCTCTTTTTGTACAGTTAATTGAATTTAAATTCCACCAGCTGTATTAGAGTGGTGAAATTTGAACCTACGTCCCCACAGTGTTAGCCTCGGCCGCAGGATTATTAGCCTTGTGCATCTTCAGTTCTAATTACTGCAACATTTGTGGCCGTACCTTTAGTTACTTGAGCTCTGAGCTCTGGAACATTCTGCTTTGCTTCTCTCTTTCAGACACTTCTTTCAACTTAACTCTTTCTCTAAGCTTTTGATCAGCAGACTTAAAATCCTGTTAAGTTGTTCAGTGTCATAATTTCTTTTATATAATGTTCCTGTCCTTGTGACATATCTTTAGTCTAAGTTGTTATCTGTTGATAAGTAAGTTTGTGGATGACACAAATATTGGAGGAAGGTATTAAGTTACAGGAGGATATGGACGGATTGGTTAGGTGGGTGGATCAATGGCAGATAGAACTTAAATCTGATAAATGTGTGAGGTGATGCATTTTGGAATAAGGAAGAAGACAAGGGACACAATGAATGGCAGGACACAATGAAGCTCAGAGGGACAGAGGGATCTTGGGGTTCTTGGCCACAGATCCCTGAAGGCAGCAGGGCAGGTTAATAGAGCAATTAAGAAGGCATACAGGACACTTGCCTTTATTAGTTGAGGCATTGATTATAATAGCAGGGAGGCCCTGTTGGAGCTGTACAGAACTTTGATTTGGCCACACCCGAAGTATTGTTATGCAGTTCTGGTCACTGCACTATAGGAAGGATGTGGTTACACTGGAGGGGATACAGAAGAGATTCACCAGAATGTTGCCTGGGATGAAACATTTTGGCTATGAAGAGAGGCTGGGTAGGCTCAGATGGTTTTCTTTAGAGCAGAAATGGCTGAGAATGGATCTGAGTGAGGTGTCCAAAATTATGAGGGGCACGGACAGGGTGGGTAGAAAGCAGCTGTTCCCCTTGGTTAATGGCTAAATTACAAGGGGCTATAACTTTAAAGCGACAGGCAGGAGGTTTAGAGGGAATTTGAGGAATAAAATATTTCAACCAGAGGTAGTGGAGGTCTGGAATGCACTGCTGGGAGGATAGTAAGGCAGGAAACCTCACTTATGAGCACTTGAAATGTCATAGTATTTGACCCTATGGGCCAAGTACTTGAAAGTGGGACTAGTATAGATTTAGAGTAGTTTTCATCAGTGTAGACTCGATGGGCTGAATGGCCTCGCTTATGCTGTATGATTCTATCATCTATCAGAATTTGATGGAACAAAAACAAGACATGACCTCATGGCATACCCTGTCAGCACAAATCTCTTCTGGTTTGAAATAAATTAATCCTCCTATATCAACTTCATTCTCATACTTGTTGCATCATTATAAATAAGAACAAAATCTGGAACTTTCAGTTATCCTCAAAACATTATTGACTAATTCTCCACTGGAGCATAGATACTGGAGGTTCCACCACACTCAAAAAATAACAGGTTCACTACCTCAAAGCATTTGAAATACATTTATCATACATTATACCTAAAGATCTGAGTTATTGCTGGTGCAGCTTATGACACCACTCCTACTGTAACACTGTTACCTTTTACAGCACCGACCTGATCAGGAAGGAGAAGAGTTGCTCCTGTCACTCTGGGTGGGAATGGACGGATTTGCATTTGATGACATGATGGAATCCTACTCCTGAATTTGGGAGGTAGTGGAGGAGGTGCTGGACATGCATCACAACCTTTAAGCAACTTATAGTTATCAGCTGATAAAGCTTCAACAGTTGCGGGTAATGGCAGATTGATGACTTGCTCACCACAGGGAGGTAACTCTTGGCTCACCATGGTCACCTTGACTTTCACAAGTTCAACAGGTATTTCAAAAGGTTTAGCTGAAGTCTGAGTCCATTTAACAATGAGATATTTCATGTTGACCTCACCATCAATCTGGAGTTCATTTATACCAAACAGAAGATTGCTTGGAAGGGACTGGTCTTGATAAATCATTCTTACATGGCACGGGGGCTTGTGGTGGACAAGCAGTTCCCCAATGGTGAATTTTTCTCTGTCTTTTAAAACTTCCAAGAATGACCCTACTGCATACATTGGGAGTGTGACTCTATCATGAGTGGAGATGGTCTCGCATATTAAAACGGGTATGATTTGTGGTTGCATCCCAGCAAGTGTAGAAATATTTGCAGGCTTGACTGTACGGAATATATCTCCTGTTACAAATGAAGACAATCCTTCTAGATCTGCAATATAACTTTGCATAGCAATAACTTCAATCACTCCACTCGCCTTCCTTGCAAGTTCCAAGTCATAAACTGTTTGGAATGTTCTCGGAGTCCTCTGAAATAAAGCATTGTAGTTCTGTGGAATGAGAAAATGTTTTCTGGCAGGGTGTTGAGCAACTTCAGTGACCAGGTATTTTGTCATCTCTACTCGTCCCAAGATTGTGAGGTACTTTCCAGCTTCAAGGTATGTGGGGTTACATCTGTCCTTCATGTTAAGGCAACAGCTTTTGCTCATGATGTCTGCAACTTGAACAGTCAGAGGAAACTTGTCATTTGCCATGGTGTAAATATCTTCCAGATAAGTGGTTCCAACAATAGGGTTCTTCACTTTATCAGTGATATCAACTATTTCAAAATTCAGTTGTGCTGGGATCAGAGTTTCGACTTCTCCTGGCCAGGAAACACACTCAGATTACAAAAGAGGAACCGCAGAGTTTAATTCATGTTATTGACAACAAAGATTTGAAAATTGTTTGAAACACCATGAAGTTTTAACAGGAAACAAAGCAGAAATTGCTGGAAAAGCTCAGGAGGTCTGGCAGCATTTGTGAAGAGAAAAAGAGTTAACGTTTCGGGTCCGGTGACCCTTCAGGAAAGGTCACTGGACTCGAAATGTTAACTCTGTTTTTTCCTTCACAGATGCTGCCAGACCTCCTGAGCTTTTCTAGCAATTTCTGTTTTGTTTCCTGATTTACAGCATCCACAGTTCTTTCGTTTTTTTTTATGAAGTTTTAACAATCTGTTTGTAGATGCAGATTTGTCATGAAAAACTTTAATTAATTTTCAGAACTTAGAAACATGGAAAATAGGAACAGGAGAGGGCCATTCAGCCCCTTGAGCCTTTTCTGCCTTCAGTATGATCATGGCTGATCATTCAACTCTGCCTTGTTCCTGCTTTCTCCCCATCAACTGATCCACTGTCCCACCAAACTTTGTGTCGACTGCAAACTTGGCACTATTACATTTAGTTCCATTGACTAAATCGTTAATATATATTGTGAATTGCTGGGGTCTAGGCTCTGACCTTTGCAGTATTCCATTAGTCACTGCCTGCCACCCGGACAAAGACCCGTTTATTCCTGCTCTCTGTTCCTATCTGTCAGCCAGTTCTCTATCCATGTCACCTAAACTTCTGCACTTGAATTTTACATGCTCATCTCTTATGCTTGTTATAGCCAATTTGTATACCTCTTCCTTGGATCTAACAATATCCTGAACTTTCACTGTTGGTGATGGTCAGACCACCTTTCCTGGTTTATTACAACACTTGTTACTTAAAGAATGTTTTGTGCTCATGAAACTGATGTTATTATTGGGGAATGCAACAGTTTTCCACTTTAGATACTAGAGTCTGTGACAAAGTATATTCAAATGAGGTATAGCTCATTTCAAATAAAAATCATGCTCTTTCTGTTTATCCCCAGGGGTGAATGTGAGTCTTAATTCCGACCTCAGAAAGTGATTCAATTGCATTTTTGTTTCTTGTGTCAGTGATTCCATGTGTTTTCTGGTGAAGCTCTTAATTTTACACCAGTTTGTGCCAAATTGGGAATAGTTTGCCCTGTGCCTTACACTCTTTACGAAGTGCCCACATTCATTGCCACTAGCTGGGGTTATGCCCGGTTTACCATCACTTCGTGGAAAATTTTGGACATGAAATTTAACTCTGGTCTGACTGGAATCTTGATTGCCTCACCGGTATTTCAGAGGATGTGGCTGTGAGGGGAACAGCCTTTGGAAAGAGGGTAGCCACATACAAACACAGAAGACAGAAAAGTATTACAATCCAGAAGGAGGGCTTTCAGTCTATCCAGTCTGCACTGGCTGTTCAAATGAGCATCATGACTTTGTGCCATTCTTCTGCCTTTTCCCCATACCTCTACACACTGGTTCTATTCAAATATTCTTCCAATGCCCTCCAGTCATGCTTTCCATACTCCTAACTATTCTCCTCTGGATGCTCTTTCCTCCTAAGTTTGGATTGATGTTCTAGCCTCCATCTAGTGGTAATAGCCAGTCATTGCAGGTAGTGCTGTCCGGCTGCACCAGTTAACCACTGCCACCAGATGGAGCTTGATTGATTGATTGATCTGTCATGTGTACTAAAATACAGTGAAAAGCTTTGTTTACGAGCGGTACCGGCAGATCACAGCAAGCAAAGGACAACAAAGATTTGAAAATTGTTTGAAACATGCTTTAGTGGAGCACCATGAAGTTTTAACAGAGATAACAAGGTGTAGAGCTGGATGAACACAGCAGGCTAAGCAGCATCATAGGAGCAGAGAGGCTGACGTTTCGGGCCTAGACCCTTCTTCAGAAAGGTCGAGACCCAAAACGTCAGCCTTCCTGCTCTTCTGATACTGCTTGGCCTGCTGTGTTCATCCAGCTGTACACCTTGTTATCTCAGATTCTCCAGCATCTGCAGTTCCTACTATTTATGAAGTTTTAACAAGCTGTTTGTAGATGCAGATTTGTCGGGGCTCTCAGGGCAGTTGTTGCAGTGGTCATACTAGTCACAGTACTGTATAGTAAAGGTGAATAGTAGTTTTTAAATATTCTCTTCCATTTCTTTTATACTCAGTGATGCATTTTATTTTGAAAGTTATTCCAGGTAGAAATTGAATCAGAGATAGTAGGAACTGCAGATGCTGGTGAATCCAAGACAACAAGGTGCAGAGCTGGATGAACACAGCAGGCCAAGCAGCATCATAGGAGCAGGAAGGCTGACGTTTTGGGCCGAGACCCTTCATCAGAAAAGGGGGAGGGGAAGGGGGTTCTGAAATAAATAGGGAGAGAGGGGGAGGCGGATAGAAGATGGATAGAGGAGAGGATAGGTGGAGAGGAAGCAAACAGGTCGAAGAGGTGGGGATGGGGCCAGTAAAGGTGAGTGTAGGTGGGGAGTTAGGGAGGGGATAGGTCAGTCCAGGGAGGACGGACAGGTCAAGGGGGC